TATATATATGTTATATATATATATGTATATATATATGTGTATATATATATATATATATATATATACATATATACAATATGTAACGTAATTAACGCACACCCTCAGACACCCCAATTAGTATATTATATTATAATCATAATACATACACTGAATTTTTAGTTAATCATTTTTATGTACTAAATATTTATCAAATTAGTTATACTAATTCCGGAAGAATGTTGTGGTCACAGTACAAACCCACGAACTCAAAGACTTTAAGGTGCTTGAAATAAAGTTCATTTTTCTATATTTTTATTGAATGACAAATTAGTAATAATACAAATAAAACTGCACTCTTAAAAGTGTTATTGCTTTAAGTTGCGGTCCATTTCAGTTTTTGACTGTACAGATTTAGTGTACCTATATTAAAAATGATAGAAATCGATTCAAATGTATTTCAAAATTTACTTACCTTTCCTATCCTTCCTATATATTCCTATCCTTTTATCTACATAAGTAGATAAAAGGAATATTGCTATTATAGCAGCTAGCCGGACAAGCGACGGGGCCCCACGCGCCGACCTCGCCCGCCCGCGTCTTATTCACCCCCTAAAACCTACGTGAACACGATACCATTTCGTGTCCCCCCCCCCCCCGAATACGCGGAGCAGCCTAAGCAACCACGCTCAGGAAGAGTAAAGAGCTTGGTCGTGGATGCTCAGCGAGGGGATTCTCAATCACCAGGAGTGAGGGTACCCTCTTGGGGTAGTTTTTATTTGATTCCACTACGATGTCAAGCCGGAGAGGGAATTGGGCCTCCAGCCCAAGCGAAACGCAGAGGTAAACCTCTAATTCAAGCAGGTATTCTATGAGGTCGTGGTACCAACCCCGGTTCAAGTTGGCCCACCCATGTGACATCAATAGCCGCTGCGTTGCTCTATCACTGTCAAGTCAAGAGGATGGCTGCCATTTTGGTTTATTTCAGCTCAGTGTTATAGCAGCTACCCTTCCTTTTTTTATAGGGTGACAAACGAGCGTACAGTCCACCTGATGGTAAGTGTTTGCTGTGGCCCATAGACATCTACATATATCCTAGATTACAAAATGCAGATGCGTTGTCACCCGTGAGGACTAAGATGGAATTCCTCGTTTCCAATAAAAAGGGTCTACGGTTCTCTACACTCACCACACGAACCAGCAGCATTAAGGTATTATTTTACGCTGGTATTCTGTGAGAGCGTGGTCCTTCCCCGGTCGAGCCGACCCATTCGTGCTATAACTATACTACTAATAGTATAACTGCAACATGGCTCTACCACGTAAAAAAATCGTGCCTTATTCAAATATTCGTGGGTAGCAAAATATTGGTTGGTTGTAAGTACTCAACAATCAGAAAAGAAACATCAGCGACTTAAAAAATTAAATATTTACCTTTACTTCAATTTGATGTAACGTAATAACAACTAATTAAAAAAATATGCTGACCACATATATTTTTATAACTTTAAAATTAATAACCCAAATCTTGGACCATTAGAAATAAGAATTACTGGCAACATTCTCCCGTTACGTAATCTCGAAACATTGACATTCGTGCTTCGAATAACCTTCAAAATTGTGTTGGAATAACAAATTAAAACATAGTTAAATGAGTGTTTACGAGTGAAACGATATTACTTCAGACTTTTTGTTCACTTTAGTATTATTTTTGCACCATTTAACTACACAGGACGGCATTTTGTAGGCAAATTTACTGCACGACGCCCCGGGAAGTACTGAGCGTAAATAAGCGTAGTTTGATGCATGTGTTTGCGTGAACGCGTGTGCTTACATAAAGGAGCGGAGTTTTTTGGCTTCACCAATAACAAAGGCCGCGCTGTATCTACCTTTTTTTACTTCATCTGAGATCTGAAACCTTTTGTTGGTCATTTAGCATTTATCCACGCAACAGTTATAAGTAGTAGGAACGGCTTTTTGCCATTACAATTGATCAAATAGGTAATATACATAGTAACTACATATAATTTTTAAATTATATTAAGGGTATGTTCCGAAATACAACGCACTGTACTGTCAAAGTGGCAAATGACGTATCATTTGACACTTTATTGTACTAGCGTGCCTCCGCCATATTGTGTCGGATATCCGGCCATAATAACACAATTTTTAATTGTGTGTTTGCCGAATGAAGCATGCCAGAATTTGTTTCTATTTATTCAAATACAAAAAATTATAGAATAATTGATGGTATATCCATTACGAGGATATAATGATTTTTGGAGCACAAAATGACAAAATAATCGCCAACACTTTTCCAAATGGCGCAAAAGTATGACATCATATACTGTCCAATATTTTGGAACGAATCACCAGTATAGCGTCGATTGCATTGACGATGAAGTCATTTGCATTGGACAGTACACTGCGTTGTATTTCGGAACATACCCTAAAACTTCAACTATTTTATCCAACAATTTAAATATACTAAACACTAAATAAAAACTGTTTCTGTAAGTATTTACAAAAAACTATTTACGTAAACAGCGTAAAAAACATTCAATCGCATACAACTTCGTATTTTACAGTATTTTACCCTGGGTGCCTCGCGTTTGTAGTAATTATTTCACGCAGGTAGCAAGAGTGACAGAGGGCTGCCCACAGGTATATTTTTTCCATAAGCTTTTCAAAATCTTGATACATTGGACGGCGACCCAAGGGTCGCATAAAAAATAGGGTATATTTTTCCATAATTATGAGAAAGGAGCGAGTCAAGTGGCATCAAAGATTTAAATAGAATATAAATCTTTGAATGGCATGCGATAATTTGACATTAACGTCTGGTTCAAGTTCCTAATGTAAGTTTCATTACTAAAAAGTATTAAGGTTAATATTTATACATTTTAAATACAACATATAAAAATAATCGCTGCGAGACGTCCTCTCAATCTGTGTATCACAGAGTAAATGGTATTGGATTTATTCTATTATTAAACTTTCTACAAATATATGAAATTTACTACTCAAAATATTGACATTGCATACAAAAACATTGTGGAAATCACGAATAATAATAGATAATTTCACAACAAAAATAGCAAGTAGCTAAAAAATATTGCTAACGTAATATGGATAAGATCCGGTAGTGTCACATTTGAATTCCTTAGATTGCTGTTTCGGGTCTGGGTGTCTCTCTTGTTCAAGATTTATTATAAGGAGTATTTGTAAGGTTCCCGTAAAATAGAAATTATTTGTGTACTATACCGAGAATTAAAAAAATAATTACCAAAATATACCGCTTGTCAAACACCGCAAGGAAGTCCACATTGATGTTTTACATTTATTACGCTATAGATGATAAAGGGATAGTACACTTTGTATATATTTTTGCAATTTATGTAGATAGTTTTACATAAATTGCAAAAATATATACAAAGTGAAGTATAAACTAAAGTTATGGATGTAGAGCGACAAAGCAAGGGGTCATACATGCAGGTTTGTCGCAACCTACGCAGTACGTTTGTACCCGTTTCTTGCACAAGCCACAAACGCGGCGTTGTCGGCCACTTTTACCGGGCAGAAACGGGAACTCTGCGAGGTGGTGGTGTCGCACATCTCTGCCGATTTTTACACTAGTAGGTGCGACGGAAAGGGAGGAATGTTTTTCTAAAAGAGATTTAATAAGAGATATCCTAAAACTACGATGAGAGAAAGAAGAAGAATGTTAACTATTATATATGAATTTAAAACAGAAACATTGAGGAGACGAAGGAAAAATTTTTTGTACCACACTCTTGTTCTTTTTCTTTCAATGGGGTACATTGCCAACATCTGTTGTTTTTTGTCCAACTCACCCATCATGACATTGTAATCTGATATCAAGATGGGTATGGGGACACCATTAACCATGGTGATGGAGTTGCCATGGTACGTAGAGATCGTCGCAACTCTGTTCTGACCTCTCCATACCATGACATCAACATCACCTGAAGTAAAACCGATTATTTCACCACGGCGCATTTGCGCTTTCGTCAGCCGGCTCAAAGCTTCGGGCACGAACTGACGATTTGTTCGAAGCGTTCCAACGCAATCGAACCCGAAGCTTTTTAGACACCGGGCGAGCGCGGGAGAGTTATAAAGACTATCTATCCATAGCGTGTGACCTTTGTTCTCAAGACCATGGAGCAATCTTAAAACAGTAGTCGACGTAAACGCATCTATAACTTGCGTTGTAGATATTTTATGGGCGTGTACTTCAAACCGCCACAAATAGCCTGTTTGAGGTTCACAAACCCCATAAGTTTTGATTGCGACTGAAGCGGCTTTGTTTGGAAGGAATTGATTGATGTCCAACCAACCTTTCCACTGAAACAACGATTCATCAAGGGCTATATTTTGGCGCATTTTATACATATTTTGAAATTTAGTATTCAGATATGACACCACCGGCTTAATTTTAAATAATTTTGCCTCGGAAACCTCCAGTTCTTGAGCACCCATGTCCTGGTTATTATTAAAATGCAGGCATCTGCTTAAAAGTTGAAATCTTTTCAGACATGTGTGCCCTAAAACCGGGTGTGCAGAATACGTCGGAATTGGCACACCAGTATTCTTCAATACTTGACTTGACAACAACTCCCATCGCCAATAGTAGGGCAAAAAAAGGTGTACATTTCGTCAGTACTTGTGTCTATCCATTCGCAAATTCTACTATTGGGATGGATATTGTTGTCAATCAACATTTGGTGAGCCAATTCTTGTGCATATCTGTTTGTTTCCGCGACAATGTGCTCCATAATTTGCTGATCCCAAATGGCATTGAAAGTGTCATAAGGATTAACACTAGGAGTAGTTGGCCCAACATCTCTGTTAGAAAATGTTTCCCTCCTCAGTTCAGGTGGAACTGAACGATCTGGAAACGATTTCCATTGAAAATCTAATAATCTGCTAGGCTGGTGGACAGTGCCTAGCAGATTATTCTCAGCTGAGGTGGCAGCGTTTATAGGGTTCCCTGCCAAGGTGACGGTAGGCCGTTCAAAATTGATGGGATAATCATCAGTTTCTGCCGTGTCCATCATCAACCGGAACTTCCTCGGTACAAACGCCGGTATCACTCCCTCATCATCGTCGCTTTCGTTAGACTCCGGTTCGCTTCCTGATGACAAAATTTAATATGTATACAATCCTCAGCAAAAGTTAACGTCATCAGAAACTTAATTCAGTATGTACTAACCATAATTTAAATGAAAACTAATATCATCGTCTTGGAAAGTCTGACGAGGACGAATACGATGTACCGGCTTCCTAGATGGTGTGCTGCTGATTGAACTACCACCACATTCCACAAACCTAAAACAAAAACAAATTTGATGTAAGCATCAATCAAAAAGCTCCTTAAAATTTTACCACTTAAGATTAGAGAGTTATTACTACATAGTTAAACCCTTCGCAGGGAAACGTAGTCGCAGAAAACAGCTAGTAATATGTACATAGAAAAAAAAGTGACTCACAGATCAGGTGAAGGTGCAAGAGCTGGGGAAAGTTGTGATTCATCAATAGCAGCATCGGCACTAGGAGGCGATGGATCCATCACCTCAGAGCAGGGTCTTGAAGGCCTAGTAAAAGAATAAAAAATACTTCAGTAATACGATTAGATCAATATCAAGAACTAAAACAATGAAGGTGCAATATACTCCCAATGTAACTGCGGGTGTACCTCAAGGTGGAGTCCTCTCTCCTTTGCTTTTTGCCATTTTTATTAATTGTATCACAAAGGTCATATCAGCTAACTACCTTCTTTATGCTGAAGATTTGGAGTTATATCGTAATTTTATGGCATCTGAAGCCAACTTGGCGATTGAAGCTATGAATGACGACTTAAATAAGATTAGCGAATGGTCGAAATCATTTGGTCTCACATTAAACCCAACTAAATCTCAAACCTTGATAATAGGCAAAAAATATGCGCGTGGCACGCTTTATTTCTCCTCTCTCCAAACTCTACGCAACGATGGCACTACTATTCCCTACTCAGATACTGCCAAAAACCTAAGTGTTACTTTCGACTGCAATTTGACTTAGGGCGCACATGTTGCAGATGTAAGCAGGAATACATTTCACGCCTTTCATTCTCTAAAACGTCTTCAAAGTTTTCTACCTGTGTCTACTAAGATATCTATAGTCCAAACTTTTATCTTGCCAATTTTAGATTACACTGATATCTGCTATTTAGATGCTACCGAGGAGCAAATTAATAAACTCGAGCGCTTGCAAAATTTATGTATTCAATTTATTTTTGGCTTAAAAAAGTTCGATCACGTCTCTGTTTATCGCAAGCAGCTTAAATGGCTCCCCATCCGCCTTCGCCGGAACACTGTCTCGGAACTCCGTCTTCTTTTCTATATTCTATTTAATCCTGATATTCCCCTATATCTAAAAATCTTTTATTTTTGTTCATCCATTCCAGATCTTCCATGTAGATCAAATACTAGAACACTGTTAAGATTTACGTCTTTCAATACAATGCTCTGTTTTCATTCCTTTACTGTTAACGCAGTACGATTGTGGAATTCACTTCCCTTTAGGATTCGTGACGCGAAGTCGGTGCTTGTTAAACCGCACTATCATTCACACCATAATTATTAATTCGTGATGTGTAGGTATTCATATATGTGACATTAAAATATTATGTATTGAATTATACTTTTTTTTTGTTAAAATATATTATATTTGTATTCTATATATATACAGGGTGTTAGTGTAAACACAGTTATCCTTGAAACCAGTGGTTTGGTTTCACTTATAGAACGTAAATTCAATGAAAAATAACAACATTTTTTTTAGTTAAATCTCAATTTTACCTTAATTACTAAATTTTTGCCTGTCCTAAGCCAGGATGAAAGTATGAAGGAAAAGTTACATTACAGGTTATGTGTACCTATTGTGTTTTTATTAGAATGTTGTGTAGGTAGCTAGCGTGGGCGGTGATCTTAACAGTGATTACGTCACTCGGGCGCATAGGGTATCCATAAATTTACGGACGGTGTCGGACAGAAACTTTTTAATTTTATGAAAGAAAATAGCGTTTTTTTTAATTCGAATAAATATTTTTATATTAATGCCAAGTAACTACCTATGGTTTTAGTGACAACGGTGTTTTACTTATACATATATAAATATATATATATATATATATATATATATATATATATATATATATATATATATATATATATATATATATATATATATATATATATATATATATATGGTATGTGTGTATATGTATGTATATTACTATCCTTCAATAGGCCTGCTGGAAGAAATTTCATTATGAAATAAGTAGTGCCTTTGCACATAATTATGTTTTTACCATTTTCCTATCGAAGTATGTGTGTACATAGACTGTTAAATAAATAAATAAATAAAACACTTAGAATTCTTACGCGTCGCATAAATAATAAAATAAGATACTTACAGTACAGGAGAAGGTGAAAGTTCTGGAGAAAGTGGCGCCGGGGGTACTATCACTTCTGGATAGGGTCTTGAATGCCTGATAATATAACAAAAAATAGTGTTACTAATACATTCATAACAATATCTACATCAAAGATACCTCAGGTAGAACTACTTACGGTCTCCAAGTACGCATCCTCCTAAGATGAAGGGGCCGCTCTATCTTCTCGCCAACTGGCAAGATGTTCGTATCAACAATCTCCATCCTAAATACCAAAACCAATCATGAGAATTATTACAAAAAGAAAAATAATATTGTTAGGTATAATGAATGTATGATACGTGCTCGTTAATTGCTTGGTGTCTTCCCGAGGTCCGATCACCACCACCACGGCGATTACGACCACGTCCACGTTCACTACCCGCCATCACCACAACCTGTGCACTTCGACCACCTCTCACACGCACACCCCTGCCTCTGGCGCGGGGTCCACACGTATGGCTTGGTACACTAAGCCAGAAAACATGCAGTGAAATGGTAAAGTAATGAAAATATATAAAATAATCCAAAATGTCCATTAAATCAAGTATTATGTACGATATGCATGTTTAACGTTACACATAGGTACATATTTAATAATATTTACCATTACCGAAATAACTAAGATTAAAAAAATGCTAGAAAGTACCTAGTCAAACATGGAATCTACCAGTCATATCCATATTAATAGAGCTACCAAATAAAATGGCCGACTCGTTCGCTTATCGCTTTGACTTTGGTACTGTGCTACGTGGCCACAGAGTACTTTTTTGTACATGGCAAACAGCCAGTTGCTGGCCGATTGTGTCTCTAATTTCGATATTTTGTAAAATATATGCAAATAGTCAAAGATCAGATAGATGTAATTACCATTCCAAATTATACAGCTAAAGATATTTTGCTATGAATAATGTATTTTTCAACAACAGACAGAAATGTAAGGAAGTATTATACCATAGCCGTTGATGTTCGAAGAAACAAATTAAATTTTTAAATAAAAAAGTATACAAATCCTTAAGCTATCAATTAAAAGATGTTTGTTACTTACCCTTCCATGTTAAAACAGCACGAAACTTCACTATTTATTCGATTTACACAGATTTTTATTCGGCGAACACAAAAGCGACGCGACGTTCACAATTCACATCACAGACTAGCACAGACTACTAAGAGCTAAGAGCATGGGCGTGCAACTTAGAACAAATTTTGAGAACAAAATGATATTTTTTTTGTACTGCCATCTACATTCCAAAGCACTAGACTCAATTAGACGCACCACGCCACTACCACAGAGTACCTTTGTATAAACTGAAAGCTACTACTTCCCTATATAAAAAAGTACTCTGTGGCCACTACGCAGTTAATGGCGGTCACTGATAGTTGAGGCTAATTTGATATTAATATTAATATCAAATTATTCTGATTTCTCGTTTTATGCTTTCTTGTATTCACTACGCAGTTAATGGCGGTCACTGATAGTTGAGGTTAATTTGATATTAATATTAATTTCAAATTATTCTGATTTCTCGTTTGTTTATATGCTTTCTTGTATTAAAATAAATATTTGCGACCCAGTGTTTTTTTAATGTGTGCAAAAATGTGAAGAAGAAGAAAAATGGCAATGTGTTTTTAAATGTGACCAAGTAAGGACTTTTTTAACAACAGCTAACAGCTAATATCTAAGAAATTGAAGGTTCAAGGCACCTCCACGGATTGCCTCATAGGTACTATTTGCCATAGCTGCCACGCTTGCACAGAGTACCTTTGTATAAACTGAAACGGCACTTTGAGGACCGTTTTCTATATCCTCGAACTAAAAGACCTTGGTAAGTCTATTAAAAACTTTCTCATTGTCATGTTAATTAGCAATTGTTTTAGCAGTGCAGACTAAAGAAACTCACTTTCATGATTGTAATATTAGCAAAGGTGGGCAAGCAAACTGTTTTTGCTTATTATAGGTATGTCAGTGTATAGCTTGACTGCGACAACTACTACAACCCCACCTGATGGTCAGTGGTTATAAAGCCATAGATAGTAAAGCACTGTCTTATCAATAACTAAAGGATAGGATTGGATAGGATAGGGGAAGGAATAAATTCCGTTAAAGTAAATGTTATTGAAGAACTTGAAAATAAATATCACGATTGGCACAAAATCTACACAGATGGATCAAAGAGTGCTAAAGTTGCAAGGGGCAGCTTTTTTCGACCCATATCAAGCAGTTTCTAAATCTTATAAAGTTACTAATGACATTTGTATTATGACCCTTGAACTCATTGCAATATCCGAAGCCCTAAAGTACGCTGCAAGCTATAACTGTAACTAAATTATTACATACTCGGACAGGAAAACTGCTATCCAACATTTGGCTCGATCTGCCTCTGGAATCGTAGGTGTTTCGAAAGCTTATTGCATACTTTCCCAAATAATATATCAGTTCAGTCTACGCGACACATGTGCAAGAGTGCAGTGGATTCCAGCACATAGACCAAATATTGGGTAATGACAAGGCAAATAGATTAGTGAACTCTGCTTGTATAAATGGTGTAGAATATAATTTTGACCCTTGCTACTCAGAAGTACTACCAAAATTCAAAAATTAATGTCATAACAAATTGAAAGAAATTTTCAATGAACGCTCTAAAATGAAAGGTGTTTGGTACAAAACAATACAGAGTGAACCACCTTGAATACCTTGGTTTGTAGATACAAAATTAAAAAGAAATGCTATTAAATTAATATTTAGAATAAGAACAGGTCACATTCCATGAAAAAGATTTCTTATTTGATGAAAAGAACTGGTTCCATCTAATGTGAAACTTGTGGAGTAATAGAAAACTTACATCACTTTTTGATGGAATGTGAACGGCTACTAGGGGAAAGGGAATTATTTGGAAGGACATATATGATAAATGTGGACAATATAGGTATTACGCAGGGCATCCTACATGCCCCCACCTTGGATATTGCATTGAGTATGTGCAGATTAATAGCAACATATAGATTTTAATAGGATTGACATGTTAACTAAGAAAAATCCCTAAATAAAATAAGAAAAAAAAAGCTTATTCACTTTTAAATTAAAGACAATGGTATGTCAGTGTATAACTTGACAACAACTACTACAACTCCACCTGGTAGTAAATGGTTATAAAGCCCTAGATAGTAAATTAATAATATTTTAGATTTTTAGGGTTCCATATTTACACACAACAAGGAAACCTTATAGTTTCTCCATGTTCATCCCAACGCAGTTTTACTCAGAGACACTAAGTGTTACAAATTTGTAATTTTGCATAGTTTATAGGCATTAATCATGTCTACAAAACTGTGAAATAAAATCTTAAAAACATTTTTATTTTGGGTACACCTCCTATGCAGGTAAATGAATGATTATTTTTACCCATATATTCCATCCTGTAAGGTATTGTTGGTTAGTTATTTCAAAAACATTGCGAGTATGGAAGAACACCTTTACGATTCAGGGGTTTGTTACCGAAATATTAAGCTTTAAAGTCGTATTTTTCATTAGAGTCATGTGTCTCCTCTGCCAACTAAACTGCTATTTTTGGAAATGTGGAAAGTATACTCAATAGTAGCATATATAATGAAGTTAAAAGGAAAACTTTCGCATCAAATTAGAATTAACAAGTTAACAGATTTTTAACGAGTAATAGTCTACTATTTTTTTAGTTGGTAGATATTGTTGTCTCAATCAAAGTATTCATACAATCAAAAAGCCTGATACAGTTTCATTTGTAATACTCTTGGTTTATGCGGGCGACCCTCAGGATAAATCAGGGCAGTTGTAGTAGATTACCTAATCGGTATAGTTTTCGATTATTACTTATGACATAACTTTAAACAATTTTTAATATAAAAAAAAGCATATATCATAATAAAAATACATGTGGAGTGTAACTTAATCTTTTTGCAAATTTTAAGTATTTGACTGCTTTATGCACACATATTAATTGCACATATCGGCTTTTTTCAAGGAGCACCATTTTTTATTTTTAGGTTTTAATGATTATAATGAAAATACATTAATTTATTCCTTAATACTATAATAACACTTGACTGCCTCATTGGTCTAGTGTCATAAATGCAATTTGATCATGAGATCCCGGGTTTGAATCCCAGTTCTGTCCAAAATCTGTTTTTGGGTATTTCTATCAAGAAATTCTCAGCAGTTTTAAATTTTTAAGTTAGAGTTAAGAAATTGGAAATAGTAATAATGACCAGTGCTTGCGCATACACTTTGGGCACTGTAAAATTTGGTCTAGAGGACATTTTTTTTTATAGAAGAAGGGGCAAACGACCATGCGGCTCACCTGATGTTAAGTGACTACCGCCGCCCATGATCAACCACAACACCAGGAGAATTGCAGATGCGTTGCCGGCCCTTTAGAAAGGAGTAAGCTCTTTTCTTGAAGGTCCCCAGGTCGTATCGGTCCGGAAAAATCGCCGCTGGTAAACTATTCCACAGAGAGGTTGTATGTGGAAGAAAACTCCTTGTGAAACGTACAGTGGTGGACCACCAAGCATCCAGATGGTGTGGATGGTATCGGGACGTTTGCCGTGTAGTGCGTTCACGAAATTTGGCGGCTGAGATTAATCCGAACAATTCCTCAGAGCACTCCCCGTGATAGATGCGATAAAATACGCAAAGAGATGCAACATCTCTTCGCAGCGCCAGTGAATCGAGCCGATTATTATTATTATCATTATATATGTGGTATGTAGCAGTGAATAAAGCAAGCCCAATAAAGAAAGTTTTGTGTTACTCATATACTTTCACCACTATTACAGGCTTACATGCTGAAGGATTAGAAATGGAACCCACACCACATATACTGAATGTACTTCACAAGATTCTGCCAAGTTCACATGATAATCCTATAAGAGGTATTTAATTTATTTTTTAAAGGAGAGGGGGGAGGGCGATCATGCAGCTCACCTGATGGTAACTATCACCGCCCATGAAGAACCACAACACCCGGGGGCATTTACAAAAGAGTAGGTTCTTTTCTTGAAAGATCAAGTTGTATCTGTCCAGTAAATTCTCTGGTGGTCATACATTAATAATTAGTAATTACTGTAACTATATTCTATTACTATACCAGTAACTTTTCCGTGTGATAAGTTAAAGATTACTATAATAGTAACAACTATGACTAATAATGGTTCAAATGTAGAAAGCGGTTACAACTCTTGTATTTATA